ATTAGATTTACTTAAACCTTTTACTCATGACAAAAATGCTTACACAGACCAGAGTCTTAGAAATGTTGCTATAGATACCAGAGTCTCAGTGCGAGATTACTTTAATGCCAAATGGCAATTTGGCAAGGTTATACTAAGGTTAGGATTATTACATTATTTAGTTGAGTTAGATGATGGTAGGACGTGGAGACGTCATATTGACCAAATTAGAGTAATTGGGCAGGATACACCTATAGAATATAACCCAACTTGTTTCATTCCTGATACAGTTACACATAGTATAGTTCCAAGGGAGGTATCTGTCCCTGAACCCAATTCCGTTTCACCACCTACAAATGTACAAGAACTTCTAAATGATACAATAGAGCCAACAGTACCTGAGGCTCACACTGAAGCTGAACCAGTGTTAAGACGTTCAAGTAGAGTATGTAAACCTGTTCAGAGGATGAATTTGTAAGTACATCTTTATTTCAATCTGTATTTATGAATTTTGGTCAAGAGAGGAGGTGTTATATACTTGGCAACACAGGTAGGCAACACCGCTCACTGACACAACGGAATGAAGTTAGTTAGTTATTAGGCAATAAAGGTTAATGATGTAAAACCACGTTGTATTATTAATTATTACCTTATTTAAGTAAGAAATACCAAATACACAACAGTGGTAAAGGGATCTAAGTGCTTTTGGGCCCCTAGATGTCAGCACCTATCAAAACAATCACTTGGATCTATTCACTACCAAATAGATTAGTATTTTTACAACTCATTCATGCAACTCATGCAATTTTTTTCAAAAATGTTACAGATGTTTATCTTCCAGATGTTTCGTATGAGTTTTATAGCAAAGTGTTTACTAGTAACTTTAACATTAAATTTGGATATCCACGCAACGATGCCTGCAGTAGATGCGATAAATATACTGCTGAGAAAACAGCACTATTGAAAAATAATAATGACTCGACGACGCTAGAAAAATGACACAAAAATTCTTTAATAACTAAGAAAGAAGGAAGTAAAACATGAATTTTATTTGCCAAAGGCCGCAGTGTTCTATGATTATAAAAAGAAGCAAAACAAAGAAGTATGAAGAGCAATGAGTTCGAATCAATAGCGATGGATTTTCAAAATATCCTTCCTATACCAAACAATTACAACCAACGACGTGTATTGTAGCAGACAACTTACATTATATTCTTTTAATATTTACGTGCTGTCTACTCTGCCCTGCTAAGCTGAAAGGTCCTATCTACCAATTGTACTATTTTGAGAAAAATGCAATTAAGTTTAGTTTGCTGCGCCATCCGTAATATTAATGATATCGAACTGTAATTTTGAATGAACTTAATTTGTGTATATAGAATTTATGGGATAATCCAAGGAAGTAATTAGTTTAGAGCATACATGAATTTTGATAGATAGGACGGTTTAGCTTAGGATTTTATTAAAAATCTCAGATAGGACAAGATTTTTTTATAACGAACTTTTATTGGACTTATAACGAGACATTTATTTTTTACATTGCATTAGTATAGCCCTCTAATGTTGTAAAAAAACTTATAATACTCCATTTTCGTGTTCTTCAGCTACATAGCCTACCGGTAATTCTTCCCAAAACTGTCTCCAGTTGGCTGGAGCTGGAATTATAGTTATAGCAGCAACTTCTGCGTTCTCTCTTGACTAATTCTTCGGTTGGAGGTTTGTGGAGGTGAAAGTGTCACACCAGTTTTAAATGTACCTGCAGTTAAAAATAGTTTTGACCCTTTTTAATGATTTTTCTACCTGGTGGTGAAAATGGTCCGCGGACATAAACGTGTGTCCGCGCTCAAAATATTTTATGGTTAATTATTTTAAGTTAACTTCTGTAGCATTTACTATATAGACTAAAAAGCTGAACAAACACCAATTCTTGTTCTTGTTCTTATCCAGCCAAATTGTTATTGATTCTTTATTCCTGTTTTTTAGGAAGAATGCGTAGAAAGTATATATCTTCTTCACTATATCTTCTTTTCTTCTTCCTGATATTCCTTCGTGTCACAGAATTACTAAAGGACGGACGTCCCTATCTTTCCCGACAGCAACAAAACTTCCGTTAAAAGTAATTATGCGCCTAGTAAAAATGACTTATTTAAACATATCTGCTCTTGAAAGCATTTACTTTCTGAAGATCTGCTGAAACTATGAGATTGATGATTTTAGTTGCGATTCCGCATGTTTTTCATACTTTTTCTGACAGTTATATATTTATTTCTGTGAGATACATAGTTTTCACACACTACACAATTGTGTGTTGGATTAATATGATTGGTTTCGGTCTTATGGAGATCATATGATGCACACTGGAAGCACTCTTCACAGCCAAGTTGTACAAACGATATGTTGAGTTTTGCAATTTCCTGACGATAGGGTTCATAACTACCCTGACAATCAGGATTCTTTATTTTGTAGTCATTGTACACCATTGTAATTGAAATATCCGATGGTATATATAGACTATTTGGAGGATGCTCCCGACGATAATGAGATACGGTAGGTCGAAAAGACTTTATATGTTCAAGTAAAGAATATCATGACTAAATGACATAAAGAATGTTCAAGACTAAAAACTACCGAAAACAAATATTTTCGATTTTTAGGTTATGTTGTTTTAAGGTGCAATGCTGAATATGTCCTATCTGTCACTTAGAGCATGTTAGATTTTGGGTAGCATTACATATTGCAATACTGACTGGCCTATCTGTTACAATAGGACACTTCAGGTTTGTAAAGCTCAGATAGGACGTAATGCTTAGTAATCAGGTTTTAGTTTGAACTTAGGACAACAAGGATCACTTTAGAACAGCTATTTAATGACACATAGGATAGATCAGCTTTGAAAGAAAGATACAGAATGCTTTTCGCTACCACCCAGTACCGTTAGTACCAAAACTGCGATTTTGTCGGTTAGGACCTGTCAGATTAGCAGGGCAGTACTGGCGGTTTCTACTTTTATTGTTACCCCGAAAATATCGCCGCTAAGGGATAAGAATAAGTTATTTCGTTTTTGCATAATTTTATATTTTTGCAGTTGGATTCCAGTGTAAGGGATTTACTTATATTCTGCGACTCTTCTGGAGTTCAAAGTACAAACTATAACCTATTTAAATTCATTTATATGACAAAATTATTTGTTGACTTGACAAAATTAAAATGATTTTTTCAATAAGAGGTCATTCGTTGTTGGAGTGGATCAAAGCTGAAACGGTTAAAGATTAGTTGGACGAATTTAAGGGAGCATGCACAAAGCCTAGCCCATTTAAAGTCATAAAAAAAGTAGATTAGTCCCCAATTCAATTTGCATTCTTTTGGTGATTGTTTTAATGACAGACCGTTTCTGTCTCTTTTTTTTGTGTATTTTCAAACAAATCAAAAAATAAAAAAAAAACTGGAAAAACATAACAGTCTAAGAATATTTTTATCGTTTTCACCGATAAATTATATACCCATTGAAAAACAGTTTGACTTAAAAGTTATTAGAACATTTTAAAATTAGTGCTTAAACTTTAAAATTAACTTTTATACAAAATGAATAAAAGTGAAATTCATCGTTTTTGCCGTGTAGGCGTCAATTTGAAAGAAAAATAATGAGAACGATACTGGACTAGACTGTAACAAGATAAGGAGAAATAATAATAAAAACAAAAGCTGAAATTAAATAAAAAATTAAGAAAAAAATTTAGTTAGATACATAAATATCTTCGCTTAGAGTGAATAGGATACATACAGAGACTCCCACACTAAGTTAAGCTAAGAAGTATAACTAACTAGACACCACTGTGGCTTAGGTGTAGAGGAAGGCCTAGAAGAAGATGACTGGATGATGTAGATATAAAGACACTGAATGTTAAAGATTGAAAAGTTCAGAGCAGGGACAAAAATAAATGAAAAAAAAAGTCATGACAGCAACATCTGTATCTGTAGAGTAGGGAGGGCGAGTTAAGTTTCACAGCACTTAGGCCACAATTAACCCATTATGCATCCTCCCAGCGAGCTATCGCCCTTAGCTCATCGGTCATCCTGTCATTTCTAGGAAGGTGAACAAGTCACCAGGAAACATCTCTCTTATGTGGGCAGGTATGGGCCAGGACTCGCCGAACGCGTACTCTCGTATTAACGATAACTCTTCTTCGTTTGTCGTTCACACTTCCTACATAGAGGTGTGTCTGCTAGCCCCAGTGTGTGGAGGTGTTTGCTTATTTGACAATGACCAGTTAAAAAACCAACTGTTCAGAGTAGATTTTTCCTGGTCATTCCCAAGTACTTCGTTGGTGCTGACTTTTCAAGGTTACTTACTGTTACCCTGACAAGTTTACATCCTTGCTCTTCTTCCCATCTTTTTATGGTTTTCGTATGGGAGTGACATTTGACAATTTTCGCGACTGTTGTAGTTGACCAACAAAAAAAATCTCCAGGTCCTAAGAGTCTTACGGCTGCCGCCTTCCTAGTAAATTGGTCAGCAATGCGGTTGCCTTTATTCCTTTTATGTCCTTTAACCCACCTGAAGATGATGGTATTATTATCTGAAGCCTGAGTTAGTGACTCGTGACACTCCATTACTAACACTGATGTGACACGTGGTCTATTCAAGGTTAGTAGCGCTTGTCTGCTATCTATGCAGATCATTATAGTTTTATAACTGAGCGCAGTCGCATCATTGTCACTAGCGCCCCCTCTTTGACATATATATCTAGAGGCGTGATGCCAATGATCAACTCCATTGCAGCAGTTGGTGTTGTTTTCATGGCACCTGTTATACTTACAGCAATATAATGACAGCAATATGACAGCAACAAAGACACACAGCAAGTGGGGAGGAATACTATTACTTATTATAGTAGTGTCCAGTACCGTCTTACAACTGTAATTCATAAATATAAATAAAAATAAAATAAAAAATTACATTTTTAAGATATTAATTTGTTTTGTCCTTTAATTACAATTTTGAGACTTATTCTACAACTTACCCTAGAACTTGTTTCGTATCCATCGCTAAAGAAACTGGCCGCGTGAGCAACAATATCTATCTCTGTAAACAAACCGTTTTCAGTTGGTAAATTACTAATCACATCCAAAAAGTCATTTCTTACTACTTTATTTTCTTTCCTGTAGTTCAAAGATCCTCTAATAAGTTCAATTAATTTATCTTCCACTTCTTCAGGTATTAATCTAAAATATTAAAAAATTAATTAAAGACAAGAATTAACCCATTATAACAGAATGTATGTAACCGTTCAATTCTGTATTTCAATTTTCAACCAATTTGTTTAAATTCAAAGAAAAATTGTCAGTATACATTTTAGGCGAAATATAATTTGTGTTCGAATATATCTCCAATACCCTTTCAAAAAAAAAAAATATATTTTAACAACGGACGCCGCTGACTTCTTTAGATTTAAACATTTGATAATAAAAGGTTTGACGTTGAGAACTTCACCTATTACACGTTAAAAAGAATGAGCGAGTTAGAAGAGGCAATCCGTTCCACATTGGTATTAGTTAATACAGACTTAGACTTAGACCAAATCTAAATAATGAAGACTGGATTATTTGTTTTCAACTTTCCCGAATTTTAATGCCTTTGAAAGATATTACAAGTAAAAAGAGGGGCCAAAAATACTTGAAGGGTAGTTCAGTGATTGATATGGTACGCGTGTAAGAATCTTGCAATCAAATTTTAGAAAACGGTAACCTTACATCCATAGTATCCGATGTAGTATCGGGTATAGCAAAGAGATTTAAAGGGATAGATCAGCGTGGCACAATGTAATTATGTACATGTATGGATTCACGATTTAAAGTGATGGGATTTTCTGATAAAATTGAAGCTAAAAAAAAACAAAAGAAAGAGTTAAGCAGCTAGTTACTACTATAATTAAAGAACAAGAAAATTGTAATATTGAAAATCAACCAGTTCAAGAAAAAGGAACCGATAAAGATGACTTAAGTCCATTGTGTATTTTTGATCAATTAATTGGACATGACTCATCTAAACGTACACCTGTATCGGGAGTCCATTACAACGGTGGAAAAACCATTGCCATGTATATCCCAACCTAACCATTATATTCATACAATATTCTAAATGTGAACACATGTTCAAAATCTGGTCAATTTTAAATAAATAATATAAGAACACGGTTAACAAGAAGTAAAGTAGAAACACTTATTTTTTTAAGTATCAATTTAGATTCGCGATTTAATAATAACGTTTAATGTAAATGTAAGCACAATTTACTATTTGTATTGTTTAGTTTATTTTTTAAAATTATAATAAATATATCTTTCAGAAGTTTTTTTTCATCAAATGTACTTCAAAATTTTGCAAAAAATATAATAGATTTTTCAGACCACCCCTAAAAGTTAGGCCGCACGTAATACAAGAATATATTATAACGTGTGTGTTTTATCATATTGATGTTAGATGTTTTTATTTTATGATTAAATTATAAACAATGAATTTTACTAAATACTACTACTACTGAACAATATTACTTTGTGAACAATAAATTATATTGTTTACAAATCGATCAATGATATGTACTCAGTTGGCGAAAATCGCATAATGTTGTATTCAGGCAATAGCACGAACCTTTTCCTGTCACTACCGGATCTTTATTTAACGTAAGATATTCTAATACACTAAAATTTAATTCCATGTTAAGTTATACAACAATTCAATGAATTCCAATATACTGTTACTGTGATCTTTATTTCTAAAAATAATATACGATAATTTCTATACATAAAACTGTAACAAATATTATAATAAAACATGAATAAAACATTTTTCCGCAAATCGCCAGGAAATTTTGACATTCCTGTCAAAATTTCTTGAAGAAAAAGTCAGGACTTCCTTACTGTTGGGAAATGTCATTTCCTTACTGTAAGGAAATGATATTTCCGTACAGTTGTTAGTGTTCTACATAAATGATAGAAAAGTTTGACATTCAACCTCAATACGTTTCCATAGTAACCCAAGTAATTTTATTAGGAATTTCGAAGCACCATTTATTTGGGAATAAAATTATCGCGTTTTTTTTTAATCAATCAATATCTGTCGAATTTTAAATGATTTGGCGGAAAAATAGTATGTTTACCTCGTAGGAAAAGCCACATTCCTGGACTCTGTGTTGCTAAGTCTCGGCTTGCGCCTCGACTTAGCAATCTTCACAGTTGTCCAGGAATGTTAAGCTTTTCCTACCCGGTAAACAATGTACTATTTTATTATTGCTCTTTTGTCCTTAACTAAGTACATTTTTTAATCATCTTAATTTTTCTCTTAAATAATAAATCACAAAATTTTGGCCATTTTTTTTTTAATATTTCGACGTTAACGTGCTCGGCTACTATGGCCACTTACACGACTTTTCGCCATTTAAATCATAGATAAATATAATATAGTTGATCTAAATATTGTCAAATATTAGAAAGGTCATTATGACAAAACGCAACACGTAATACACATTCTTTTCACGGCGTCTGACCTGACTTTTAGGTGTGGCCTGAAAAATGTATTATATTTTAGCAAAATTTTGGAATACGTTTAAGGCGTAGAACAATTTTAACAATTGTTTTCGATACATATTTGAGTCCTCTACAAACAGTTTCCCAGGACTTTTGATGTAAAATAATTAGGGAAGCAGCAATTCAACAATTTAGAATTTCTCAATGAGTTTCCTATAGCCCGTTTGACCACTCACCACCCTGTACATATAAACTATAATAGCCATTATGTTTGTTTATGTAGTTACTCTCTTACTTGAAATTACTTTAAACAATCAACTACTCTTACAAAACAAGTACTACTCGTTACCACTGTCCCTATTGACGACTAGAGACGCGACGTTGCCAAATAATTTTGTATGAAGCTTTTTCATTGTGGCGTCATAATGCAGTTTGTTATTTTTATTGGAAATAAGGCACAATATGACTCTAAAATAAGCTTATTTTGATGTTTAGATTTCTAATTCTGAAATCGTACTTAAGTTACGAAATATTAATAAATTTTATTTATATAAAACGATTTCCGAACTGAAAATCAAAATGTTAAATTACATTTATTGTAGTAAAACTATGGCATATTCCCAATAAAAAACAGTAAGCTGCCATTTAAATCCATTTGGCCCAAATTTGATTATCTTAGAACATTGTTCAAATGCTTAAATGACAACAGATCATATAAAACCAATAAGTTTGGCAACATTGAACTTGCCCCTTTTTATTAATTTCACGAATGCATTTTTGGCGATATAAAAGTCGGACCTAATATACCTCTCTATTTTTAAATAGGTGTTTATGTCTTCATCTCACGTAAGGTCCATACCGACCATAAACTTTTACCGATACTGTATATATATATATATATATATATATATATATATATATATATATATATATATATATATATATATATATATATATTATAAATTTTAAAATTATTTTACAACAAGATTAATAATATTAAGTAACAAACAATTAAAATTTAATAACTTAATCATTCTATATTAAGTTTTAAATTATATTCCACTTAAAATTGTTTGATATTGATTACTGATTATTTGCACAAGTGTGATAAACAATAAGTTTAAGGATATAATTTAAATTGAATAAGACGGAATTATTTTCTTATCGGTTACATCCGATCTACTTAGCAGCAAAATTATAATCATCATTTCGATATCAAAATAAAAAGTACAAAAGTCAAGTAAACCATTGGCGCTGGCTATGGCATCAGAGTTGCTTTATCAGATCATTTTTACAAAACACGACAACATTTCAGGTAATTTAAAGCAGCGGTACCTACATATGTACGAACACATCAAAGAGACGATATTATTATACCAATAAAAAGAGGGATCGGTATTGTATATTAATATATATTTACTAAAATCATCATACTATTATGCATCAGCATGTTATGCCAAAAATACTGAACCTTTTCATCTAACCTTACCAGTATCACAGCACAAAGCTGCTATTTGGCGTCACCTAAAAACTTTCATATATGTAATATTTCTACAAAGGATTTAACAGGACCGTCCCTTTAAAGACGGTAACAGTAACAGCCATCATATGAGTGGCCCATCTCATCTCATACCCTTGTTCCATCGTATTGATATCTTGGTGAAATCGTTCCCCTGTTCCTCACTAAGGTCACTAATGTGTTTCTTAAAAATTTTGAGTATGGCTTTCACTATATTTCGGTAATTTTCCAATTTATTGTTTTCAAGATATGTTGCACAACTTAAAAAAAACATCATGCATTATACCTGAAGCAAATATAAAGCCTGAAAAGACAAATAAAAAACAGAAGTGGATGACGTCAGAAATTCTAGCATTTATGGAAGAAAGGAGAGGAAGAAATGAGCCTAAATATCAAGAACTACGAAGTATAATTAAAACAGAGATAAAAAGGTCAAGGAAAAGTGGTTAACAGATCAATACATAGAAATAGAAGAGTATGACAGAAAATACGACAGCTTTAATATGCTTAAAAAAATAAAAGAACTAACAAATACCAAAATGCGAGCACACTATGGGATACTCAAAGGTGATAATGGTAAACTCATTGCAGACATCAAAGATAAACTAAGATTTGGTAAGAATACATTATGAAACTATTCGACGATGATAGAATAATACAAGAAGAACCAAAGGAACAAACAGGACCGAAAATAATAATGTGCTAATTAGAAGAGGCAATTAGTAATACAAAGACCGCCAAATCAGTAGGCCCAGATCAGATACCCACTTAGCTAATTAAATGCTTTGACGAAGAAACACAACCAACCAAACAACAACAACAAGAAAGAAATGCCAGAGAAAACTCGCACTCGGCACATGGAATGTACAAGGATGGCGAATAAAGGACAGAGAGGTAATAGCGGAATTCGAAAGAATGAAACTAGATATAATGATAATGACTGAGACGAAAAAGAAAGGAAACGGTACCGAAAAAATGGGAGAAGTCATTCACTGTTAGAACGGAATAGATAAGAAAGAAAGGGCAAAAGCAGAAATTGCAATTATACTGAAAAAGAAATGGGAACACGCAATCGAAAACTGGGAACCAATAAACGAAAGAATTGCCAAGCTTAACTTAAAAGTATACGGAAGACAAATTATCTTACTAGCAGTATACGGTCCAACAGAAGACAGCTCAATTG